ACATGTCCAGCGTCTTCTCTAACATGTCCAGCGTCTTCTCTAACATGTCCAGCATCTGCTCTAACATGTCCAGCATCTTCTCTAACATGTCCAGCGTCTTTTCTAACATGTCCAGCGTCTTCTCTAACATGACCAGCGTCTTTAACATGTCCAGCGTCTTCTCTAACATGTCCAGCGTCTTCTCTAACATGACACTTAACACTGGTATGTTGTTGACATTGTATTTATCACAGTGTCGAACGCTAATCAAACGACGTTACACACATGACAAACAGCAATATTTGTGCCTATAGCCACTTCCTTTTATCCATAGTAAATCATGGGATATTTTAAAGAAGCCGAAACTGCCATCGTGTGATAGCTCAGGGTGTGGAGTGTGTATTGGCATCACGGAAATTGGAAATGTATATGAACAGCAACAATAAGAAATGATCTAACATTATCAGTTATTTTTATGGTAGATTAAAATCTGTTAGATTTTGCCTCATGCTGTAAGATTTCGCCTTGTGTTGTAAGATTTCGCCTCATGCTGTGAGATTTTGCCTCATGCTGTGAGATTTTGCCTCAGGCTGAGAGATTTCACCTCGTGCTGTGATATCTGGTCTGTATGGATGTTGTTGGTAATCAGTCAAGGTTAAATGACTTAATCACTTGTACATTTATGGCTTGTTCACTTGTACATTTATGACTTGTTCACTTGTACATTTAAGGCTTGTTCACTTGTACGTTTATGGCTTGTTCACTTGTACATTTATGACTTGTTCACTGTTACATTTATGACTTGTTCACTTGTACATTTATGACTTGTTCACTTGTACATTTATGGCTTATTCACTTGTACATTAATGGCTTGTTCACTTGTACATTTATGACTTGTTCACTTGTACATTTATGACTTGTTTACTGTTACATTTATGACTTGTTCACTTGAACATTTATGACTTGTTCACTGTTACATTTATGACTTGTTCACTTGTCCATTTATGACTTGTTCACATGTACATTTATGGCTTGTTTTCTTGTACATTTATCATTATGGCTTATTCACTTGTACATTAATGGCTTTTTCACTTGTACATTTATTACTTGTTCACTTGTACATTTATGGCTTGTTTACTTGTACATTTATGACTTGTTCACTTGTACATTTATGACTTGTTCACTTGTACATTTATGACTTGTTCACTTGTACATTTATGACTTGTTCACTTGTACATTTATGACTTGTTCACTTGTACATTTATGACTTGTTCACTTGTACATTTATGACTTGTTCACTTGTACATTTATGACTTGTTCACTTGTACATTTATGACTTGTTCACTTGTACATTTATGACTTGTTCACTTGTACATTTATGACTTGTTCACTTGTACATTTATGACTTGTTCACTTGTACATTTATGACTTGTTCACTTGTACATTTATGACTTGTTCACTTGTACATTTATGACTTGTTCACTTGTACATTTATGACTTGTTCACTTGTACATTTATGACTTGTTCACTTGTACATTTATGACTTGTTCACTTGTACATTTATGACTTGTTCACTTGTACATTTATGACTTATTCACTTGAACATTTATGACTTGTTCACTTTTACATTTATGACTTGTTCACTTGTACATTTATGACTTGTTTACTTGTACATTTATGACTTGTTCACTTGTACATTTGTGACTTGTTCACTTGTACATTTATGACTTGTTCACTTGTACATTTATGACTTGTTTACTTGTACATTTATGGCTTGTTCACTTGTACATTTGTGACTTGTTCACTTGTACATTTATGGCTTGTTCATGACAAATCTGATTAATCCCTGTAAATTTAGGTTAAAGTGATTCCAGTTTAAGTATATAGAAATATCACATTCTATTCTTCACTTTATTTTGTTCGCCAACGATCGACCCAGCCAAGTTCCCCTACATTCCTCCTCCCTTTTTGTGTCACCTGCAAAAAGCTGGTGACACAAAGGTATTGCTATGTCGCACGGAGGCGTCGTCCGCACAGAGGTTTTTGTGCGATAACTTGAGTTTCCTTGGGCTGATCAAACTTAAATTTCATGCAGTGCTAAGCACAATCTCCCAGCTTCCTGTGCAGGCGACACATCCACTTCCGTGGAATTCTTGTCTAAATCTTAGCCCCCAAATATACAACTATTTAAAACCCAGGTTCGGGTGTCCCCTTATCAAGCATACACCAAATGCTTGAAACAAGGGTTTTCACAGGCACCACGTGCACTGTAACAGTAGAGGAAAAATGGACGGCCTGACCGGGATTCGAACCGGGGACCCTCTGAAATCAAGACGAACACTCTACCAATTGAGCTACCTGGTTGCTGACAATCAACCAGTCCAGTTCAGCTACATTGATGTGGCTAGTAATCTCGGGAGTATACCCATGTGAATATAACCCCTAATAATTTTAATCTCACCGCCACGAAGAAGCGGAAGCGAGACTAAGGTGTTGCTTTTCTGGCGATGGCGGCGGCGTCAACATTAAGTTTGAGTTAGTTTCACTGAAAGTATAAATCTTGGACACATCTCAACCCATGCATCAAATGCTGGATGCAGCCTACCTTTCATGATCCATTGACTTTGTCAGCATCTCCATCAACATTAAACTTCCGCTTTTAAGTTAGTTTCTCTGACACTATAAGTGCTCGACCAACCAAACTTGACATGTGCATTGATTGTCAAAGCGGGGCACAGGAGAGACATATCAATCTCAATGGCTTGTTGTTTTGATTATTTTACAAACAAAGATTCTGGCCTCTTAGGTATCTGTCTACGGTATTAATTTAATATACAACAGCACACAGATTTGTTTACACAGCACTATACCAAAACTGTATTTTCATCAATTTGTAGCATTAGTAAGACTGACCACATGAAATTCCCATCACCCATTCCAGTATTACATGACTGATGAATGTCTGTCATGGCCGCTGGAATGCCAAGTCTGAGGGCACTAGCCTCTGACCGCCATGAGAGCAAGGATTTTAACCTATCAATGTGTTGGAAGGTATTTGTTTTTTGGCCAGGGAGTTGATATACGGAACTGTGACCTGTAGATGTTTGTATATTTGGATAAAGTAGCAGGAAATTTACACTTATGATAATATAACCTAATGATTGATGTAGACTGAAATAAGATGTACATTGATCAGGCCAACATAAAAGTTTGGTTTCTGAATCCTTAGCCTCGTACTGTACGACACAAAACAGACATGGGTCTTTTGTTTCCCAATTAGTGATCATGAGCTATTGGGTTTTAACTCGAGTTAGTTGCTCATGTTTGCTGTACTCTTGTAAATGGTTCAAGTAGAACCATCAGAAAAAGGTTTCAATAACACGACAGAAATTTATATTATACAGAGACATTCAGTATAGTTCAATTTTGTGGTGACTTTGTTTATTGTTTGGATATGTAGACATAAAAACAAAATTAAACACGGCTAATAAATATGCATGACTGTAGGAGGAGGATCTTGACTTAGACCAAGAGCACTTTTAACTTAGTAACTGAATGATATCTTACAGAGATATTGAAACAGAATGAGCAAAGCAGCACACCATCACAAAAATGTGCTTTCTGTGTCATACATTTTGCCATTTCCGTTGGGTTTCTGCACACCACCTACGCGACTGTTCATCGTACTTTCATACATAACATATTTATACTGGTTCTTGCGCTTTTTGCATGGTATAAACATTTTCACAAAAACTTGACGAAAACGTTTGCCAAACAAGCAGTAAATTACGAAATTGATAGCCGAGTTAATCACGACCATGAGATTGCTCAAAGTTGTGAATCTGATGTAGTGAAGGGAACAGTTCAATATTTCTGCATCAAAAATAGTCCAGAGGATGTTGTCAATCACCGAGGGTAACTGGCACACGAGGAACACCATGACAACTGCAATCAACATAATTGTGAGATTGGGTTCCTTTGTTGGAGCTTTGGGCGTTTTTGAGCTGCCTACGCTCATCTGACGACGAGTAAATTGAGCAACTTTGACTGCGCGGATCAGTTGCATGTTGAGTACTGCCAAGAATGAGAATGGAAATAAGAACATGATAAACAGTTGTAAGTAGATGAAGTAAACCTCTTTGTACGCTTTACTTGTTCCCAGCTCTGTCTGTTGGATTTGTGGCTCAGTGCGATTGTAATACTCGTTCCAGACCTCTATAGTCTCCGACTCAAGGAACCTTGGGATGTTGTATATGACACAGCACAAGAATATCAGCACAATGACACGCTTTGTACGTGACCTGGTGCAGGTGTTGGCCGCCTTCAGAGGATGACATACAGCGATGTAGCGCTCCACAGTAAACGCTAGGGTGGTGTAGATGGTGCCGGTCTGGGCGACAAGTGCAATAGGGTAACAGAATGGATGCATGTACTTGTAGGCGTAGTAGTAATCCTCCAGGAGACCCTTCTCTAGGTAAAGGGTGGGCAGGGCCAGAAACAGACACATGGACAGTAACACTCCTGTGTCATAAACTGCCAGCGAAATCAAATAAATAGACGTCGAGCTTTGCATCATACGGTGTCGTAAGACCAGTATGGACAATACGTTACCCACAATGCCATACACTGTTATGATGTTCGCCAACACTCCCCACGTGTAGAACTGAAATGTTATTGATGATTCTGTGTCACAGTTGTATTCAGCCCCACTCTCCTCTGACCTGTTAAGGTCAAACATAATTGTGGTGTTGAGGTCAAGGTCAAGGTCAGATAACCAGTTTTCTTCCATTTTGGCTTTTTGGAAACTCAGTTCATCAAATCTGAAAAATTGAGAGAAAAAAATGTCAGTATTGCCATTGTTCACACAATTCAAAATAAAACAATTAGAAAACATTGTGGATATTGTTGAATATCCACACCTGTCATGTTTTCAAAATGTCTTGTAGATGACAACCAATTAAATAATGCAGGTCATTAGCACCATCAACCTAGGTCAATCCATTTAAAGACATAATGACATCATATTTTGATATACTGGTAATATTGTTGATTTTAATGTAAAATATTTAAATTATGTTTAAAAGCCTCAAAACATTTGTTGACTTTTAGCTCACCCGGTCCAAAGGACCAAAGTGAGCTAATGTGATACAGTGGAGTCTGTCGTTCGTTTTGACAATTTCTTCAAATTACTTCTTCTCCTTAATGGCTAATTAGAATTTAACCAAGGTTGACTGGAAGCCCCACCCACGGAGACAGTCGGTGGGTCATCATAACTTGGAAATGTTGAGATCCCTGCCCTATAACCATATAGACAGTTGCTGGGCATAAAAAGAGAATGGTTTCAGAGTCTGGCTTTGGGTCTGTTCCCGTCCAAAGGGATCTTAAATCTCTGAATGTATTACATGGAACATTTGACGCCCATCCTGTAACAAATACAGCAGGTGAGTGTGAAGATTCACATGCCATCAGGGGTTGCCCCAAGGACTGGCCCTACCCCTGGGGTTTTTATTTGCTGTACTACTTTTAATGAGAATAATTCCATGAATGCTTAAATATCCAAGTGTGTGATACAGGCCCTCTGGGCCTCTAGTTTGTAATGTATTGTTGTCTTAGACATGTTCATTTTCAGTAACTGATGTATAATGTGCATTTGATCTATTAGAAGTCTTGAAAGGAATTTGTGAGATGGGAAAACCTTTTTATTAAAATTTATTTCAGGATTACTCGACTCAAATGGAAAAAGCAAAACAATTTTCAGGGTGATGCGTGTGATTCTAATTTGCATCAATTGATAATGACGTCAAAATCCAATGGGATTTTGTAATCAGCATTATGATAATTGTCTAAGCCCAATCAATGGTTTCCCATTGTCACTAAAACCAATATCTTTGTAGCCAAGTTGGTGACAAAACAGCGTCATTTAAAAGGATTGTGTTAGATTGTCAAAAGATATAGCGCCATTATCAGATTCAGTTAATTTGGTTTAGTTCAGTTTTGACAAATTTGAGGAAATATTTGCTGATCATGTTCAGTTTGATTACTGTCGAGCGTCAATAATCAGCCCTAGACCTCGGCCAAAGTCAGATGTGTAATGACTGGGGTTTAAAATGGCAGGATTACTGATAATGTTTTAAAAGAGGAAAGGAAAACCTCTCTGAGCCAAGTCTTTTGAATAGCTTCTATAAAGTGGAACAAATAGTCGGTAGTGGTTTAAAGATTATTGAGGTAAATTGAAAAAAATCCTTGGAATTGAAAGAAAATTTAGAACAAATGTGGTATGAGATTTTTGTCGACCGCCATCAGATGGTGAGATGTTTTGCCGACCGCCATCAGATGGTGAGATGTTTTGTCGAGCTAACAAAGTTTGAGAAGGAAAATGACATTGACCTACTTATAAGGTCAAAGGGAAAAATATGTCAAACAACTTCTGAAGAAGAACCAAAAAGCAAAGAATCTTATAATAATATTTGGCTGATTTTTGCGGGTGAAATATCCGTAGTGCAATATAATATCTAATAAGAATATTTTGCTATGACTGCTTAAATATTCAGGTGAGCGATACAGGCCCTCTGGGCCTCTTGTTATGAATCATTACAGTGTTATAGCAAGCGGGGGGCAATTGGGCCAGTATGCTTGTTTTACCGCTATTTCTAAACACCACTGAAGATATGATGGACAGATTTGTATGCACGATCCCATTGGTCCATAGTTGTGTATTAGCTTGTAGTTGTATTGAGATGCATTAGAGTATTAAAACAGCTAGTTACCAACCAGATTCACTGTGTTTCCAGGGTTTTATTTTAGTCACTTTTAGCTCACCTGCCTGAACAGCTATAGTGAGCTTATGCCATGGCGCGGCATCCGTCGTCCGTCAACTTTTCCTACAAATCGCTACTAGTCATAAACGACTGAGCAGATTTTGACCAAATTTTCTCAGAAGAATCCTTAGGGGAAGGGGTCTGGCCCCCCCCCCCCCCGGGGGCTAAAGGGTGGGGCCCAATAGGGGAAATATAGCAAATTCTTTAAAATCCTTCTTTTTCTGTAGGAATTAAAGGATTTGTTCCATATTTGGTCTGAAGCATCCTTGGGTAAAGGGGAACCAATTTTGTATAAACCGTGGGTCTGGCCCCTGAGGGGCCTGAGGGGCGGGGCCCAATAGAGAACACATAGTATATTCTTTAAAACCCTCTTCTTCTGTAGGAATGAAAGGATTTGTTCCATATTTTGTCTGAAGCATCCTTGGTTAAAGGGGAACCAATTTTGTATAAACCGTGGGTCTGGCCCCTGAGGGGCCTGAGGGGCGGGGCCCAATAGAGAACACATAGTATATTCTTTAAAACCCTCTTCTTCTGTAGGAATGAAAGGATTTGTTCCATATTTGGTCTGAAGCATCCTTTGGTGAAAGGGAACCAATTTTGTATAAACCGCTGGTCTGCTCCAGAGGGGACTGAGGAGCGGGACCCAATAGGGAGGGAACACATAGTTAATTCTTTAAAATCCTTCTTCTTCTGTAGGAATGAAAGGATTTGTTCCATATTTGGTCTGAAGCATCCTTGGGTGAAGGGGAACCAATTTTGTATAAACCATGGGTCTGGCCCCCGAGGGGCCTGAGAGGCGGGGCCCAATATCCCCCATATGGATATCAACCATATTTAGCTGGAAGCATCCCTCGGTAGTGGAGATTCAAAATTATACAAATGGTTGGGCTGACCCCCAAGGGGGCTGATGGGCGGGGCCAAAAGAGGGCAATTATTGGCTATATTGCTATAAACAACTTCTATAGAATTATGCCATGGATATTGATCATATTTGGTCAGAAGCTTTCATGGGAGGCTGGTTTTTTAGCTCACCTGGCCCGAAGGGCCAAGTGAGCTTATCCCATGGTGCAGCGTCCGTCGTCCGGCGTCCGGCGTCCGGCAACTTTTTCCTTTAAAATGCTACTTGTCCTGAATGGCTCAGAGGATTTTGACCAAATTTGGTCAGGAGCATCATTGGCCAAAGGGTTCTCAGTTTTGTATAAACGGAGGGTATAGCCCCCCTGGGGGCAGAGGGGCGGGGCCAAATAGGGGGAAAATAGGTAAATCTTTAAAAATCTTCTTCTTCTCAACCAATAGAAGGATTTTGACCAAATTTGTCCTAGAGCATCTTTGGACAAAGGAGACTCAAGTTTGTATAAACGGAGGGTGTGG